AATAGGTCACGCTATATCAGACTGCATCGTTTTTCGCTACGATACATTAATGTACCATTAGCGTGGCTGTGGTAGCATGTTGTAGAAACTCATGCTATACTATGCCACGGTGTACTACTTAGTCATGTGATTGCACGTTATCCCGGTATATCATGCAATATGCCAGCCTGACATGTTATAGTATATGATATTGGAGTGTATTGCACATTGTACTATGCCTGCTTGTAATATACGATACAGGATTTTATTGTATCATATCAGTTTGAAGAAAGTCATGCTTTGCTAAGCCATTTTACAAGTATGTCGTGTTGTGTGTGTGTGTCTTAATCCTTAATCATGAGATGCGATGGCTTCAAAACAAAACCATATCGGATACCATTGCAGCTGCTTGGGTCAGATCAAATTACGTGTCGTGATCATGTCATTTGAAGATACTTGGGGGCCCAGCCCATAACGTAACAGCTTCAGATTGTGAGTAATACTTTTCCTTAGGGTTCCTTGCCACCACTCTACTATAATACACGCCAACAGCTTCTTCTGATTCTTGTTGTTTTTGTTTTTTCCGGTTTTATCAATTATCATGATTCTTGTTAAGGCCGCTGCCATAGCCCCGTTTTGTCCTTGATTTTTTCGAGGCGAAGTTCTTCCTTCGCCAGCCCGGGGCGCAACCGGTACCCTTCGGTGCGCTCGTCGCCATGCCGTGGCCTGCTGCAGAAAATGGGAGATTAGGGTTTTACGGCTCAAGGGGTTTAGGAGTTTAGGATTTTGAGGAGCTTAGGGTTTAGGGATGTTTCGGGCTTAGGGCAATCATGCATGCGGACCAGTGAAAGGTTTAGGCATGTTTAGGTTGTTTAGTGTTTAGGGGCAGGGAATGGAAGGCTTTTGACGCATCTAGGGTTTGCTCAAAGTTTAGAGTCGGAGAACGGGAGGCTTTTAGGGGCACCATTTACACAGCACTATGGGGTTTCGGGGCCTAGATTTTAGGGCACTTCAGCAAGCTCTCAGGGCTTGGGTGGCTGAGGGTTTGGGGGTGTAGGCTCGCGTGTTCGAGGTCTTGCTCGTTCATTCATTCGAGCTTGCAGAGGGGGTTCGGGGGGGGGTTCAAATTTAAGCTATCCTCCCCTAATGTTCAAAGCAGCTCAACAGCCTCATATAGTATGGTCTTTAGGCCCAAAAGCCTCAAAATGTGAGTCCTCGAAAGCGAGCGTGAGACGAAGTGTGATGACAGGGTCAGATCTTCAAAGGTCCAGGATGTTAGTGTATAGCTTTGACTTGTGGGGTTGGAGTATCTTGTGACTTATAAGCAAGTTCGAAAGAGGAGAACCTCGATGCGAGCTCCAAGGCTCAGGATCTTGTCTGCGAGCCCGGAATGCACAGTACATAGGGTTTAAAGTACGTGAGACTTCGGGGTCTTCCATAAGACGACAACATGCACAAGGGCACCATGGACGGTCGAGGATGTGCTTTTGGAGGACGCGATTCCCTAAGGGTCCATGTACCAATATAGTACATATATATATATATATATACATATATATATATATATAGAGGCGCCCCAATGGACCTATATAGGGATTACTTTAAGGCCAATGTGTATACCATATGGGTACATGGACCCTTAGGGATTGTCATCAAGCAGGCTGGAGGACCCCATGTGTCCACGCGACCGCCTGCTTCACACACCTAAATTAAGCAACCCACACAAGCCCCGAGTCCAAAAGCCCAAGACTCTAAACCCAACGCGTCTATAACTCCTGCAATGATAGTATAGATCCTGACCTTCGGGAAGAGTTAAGGGAAGCCTTGACCCTGAACAAAAGCCCCAAGCCCTGAACCCTAAAGCCTGCCCCTACCCTAAACCCAAACAACGAGCCCTTTGAGGGACCTGTACAAGGAAATCATAGCAGCAGGAGCCTTCAAGCGGGAGGTGCTTTGGGTTAATGTAGATCCTGCCTATAATCTCCATTGTAGCTCCTTTCTTGGGTTACCCTTTTTAGGATCCTTGAGATAAAATTCGTTTAAACCAGAAAAAAGGAGCTAGAATGGAGACCATGGGTATTCCTCGCCAGGGCTTTAAAACGTTTCTCGAAGCCGAGGAAGCCCGTCTTCACGGTGGATTGGTCCAATGCCGGGAAGTACGCGGTGCCCCGGCGGGTCCTGAAAGTTTAAGGTGCAGTAGGGTCTAGGGATTTAGGGTTTAGGATTTAGGGTTCAGGCTGGGTTTCGTGGATTTCTTGTCGGGCCTGAGGAGTTGGGCCTTAATGGGGACCCCTGGGTCCCTATATACATAATGGGTATATAATAGCTATATTAAGGGTATATACCTAGGGGTCCTTATTACGGGTCCCTCCTTTTACCCTTTTGGAGGATTTGTGGTTGAGTGGGTTTTGGGGGCATTTTAGGGTAGAGGGATGGTCTCGGGATCTCGAGTTCAAGGGTTTAGGACATGCTCCGAAGACGGTAAGAGGCCCAAAGCTTCGGATTGAGTTGGGTTTAGGGTTTAGGGTTGAGGGGTTTAGGAGGCCGAAAGCTTCGAATTGAGTTGGGGAGATTGGAAGGACTACTGTTATAAAAATGAGGAACCCCCAAAGATTGTATTGGTAATTATGAGAGCTCCTATATTAACTGTTGGATATTGAGATGTCCTCAGGATGACTGGTCGGGTTCCTGGAGATAACATAGCAGATGATGAGATTTAAGCTTCAGCTTGCTTTGTAGAATCGCTTCCCTCGAAGCGCTGCTCACCGTCAGCGGCAGCCATATAGCCCCGTAAGATGAAAAATCCTGAGCAGTAAACCCAAAGTCCCCACGTCCTACACCTTTTCCCATAGTCTCCTTGGGATGTTTTTGTATTTTTGTTCATATGAAAGCCAAGAGAATACACATTTTTGATCATGGTTCTAAGGGGGGTATACTTTACTTTGCGACGTCCGAAGCCCTGTCTCCTAAACCCCCAAGTCCTTGGTAAATGTTAGATACTGGCAGGCATTACAAGGGAGCTATAAAAAAAGAATCCCAAACTTCTCAGGCTCCACCAAGCCATCTGATTCTTCTGGGTGCAGCAACGACGTTTTGCTGGTGTCGTGTTATTTCAAGACGGTGGGGCTGAAGAAAGCGCGCTCTCGACGAGGATAGTGTAGGAACCTGACTAAGAAACCTTGGGCTTTATTAGGGTTCCTTATATGAATCGTACCATTTTCAGGGTTATAGGCCCAGTGTTTCCTACATTAAAACCCGAAACCCCCATGAACCCTAATTAGACTATAGTTACTGCAGTATACTGTAATATACTATAGTAATTATGGAAGATGATAGCATATTATAATATACATTGCGCCTGACCGCCTGCAACCCTTTCGAGGCAGTGGGATCTGCTGATGGTCAAGTCCGAGTGATGGAGGTCGTTTGAAGAGGCCACAGAACCGTCGCGAAAGTCTGCGCAATACAAGGTTTGGGGTTTAGGGTTTAGGCCTCAGGGGTGCAAGGTTCGGTTGGGCGGTAGGGACTCGTAGTAGGAGCCCTGGCAATCGCAACCAGTCCTCGTTTTCCGCCGGTACTGGCAGCACAGATCCCGAAACTGCAATTTGGCACCACTAAAGCTCATCTGCCCCAGGAGTGCACGATTTGGAATTTCAGCTATAATGGTCAAGGCTGCAAATTCAGGGTCGACTTTGCGCTATGATTGATTCCCCTCGTCACTCCCCATTTCAAGATTGATTTCCCAGACCCCGGAGGATCCAAAAAGTAGATCCCTTAATGGGGGTTCCTCTAGAGTACCCTTAGTAGTATAGGGCCCCAAATTAGGGGATCTACTTTCTAGATCTTCCCGGGGCTCTTCCGATTGCTTGCAAAACCGCAGGGTACCTGAACCCTACACCCAAATCCCTAAACCCAAACCCGAACCCTAAACCCGTGCGCACTAGACCCTAAGGCCGTATGGGTGGTATCGCAGCGTCTCAGCAAGGGTCTTCTACCGGTCCGAATGGGGAGTTCAGACAGCCTTCTCGCAGATCAAAGGCAGCGCTGGTCCCGATGGCTGGACGGCCGATGAAATTAAGTACTTGCCGGCCCCCTGTGTGGCCTTGATGCACCAGCTGTGCTTGCGCTGGTTGCAGGCTGGCCGCCTCCCACGACAGTTGCGCGAGGTCAAGATGGTGAATTTGCCCAAACCGCAGAAAATCAAAGAGGAGCACACCTTAGAGGCTGGACACACCAGACCGATAAGCGTGGCCTCTATCTATTGGCGCGTTTTTGCCAAAGCATGGCTCGCCGGCAGTGAGCTGCTTGCGTGGGGGAAGCGCAATTTTCACCCCGACGTTGCGGGAGTTGCAGGGACACTGGGCTCAGAAGCTGCTGCGGCCGAACTCCTCGACAGCTTCGTCGTGGAAAGAACGCTTACATGGGAAGCCTGGACTGGAGTGCGGCCTACGATCACCTTAGCGCTGCTGCTAACAAGCTTTCTTGGAGGCCTTGGATGGCCGCCGGACATGGTCCAGCTGCTCACAAAGGCTTTGTGCCACCAAGGGTGTCACGTGGCCGAGGAGCCACTCGTGGTCACAGATGCGGTGCCGCAAGGGTGTCCCCTCGCTCTTCCGTAGTAACATTGAGGCACAGAATCCTCAAAGCATCCGAAAAGCAGGAAGCAGGACCTGTTTAAGGACGCCTCCACCAGCCTTCTATCTCTCTGGGTTTCCATAAGTTCAGAAAACCTAGCGTCCCAAAAACCTAGGGTCCCCAAAACCTACTTGGAGGATCATGGGACATTAGTAAGTAGGGTTTTAAGTACCTGAATTGGGGTTATAAGTAGATATAACTATAGCTATCTTACTTATAACCCTACTTACTAAGTCCCATGAACCACCAAGTAGACCCTAAACCCTAAACTAAACCTTATAGATCCCATTTAAGGAACACTATAGATCCCTTGAAGGGGCCCTTTCCTAAGTCCCATGAACCTCCAAGTATGGTCCCAAAGCCTGAACCTCGCCTCGACCCAGGGCTTCGAACAGCTTTGCTGGGTGGTTGTCAAAATTACGGCCACTTGTTGGGTACCCTAAATATTAGGTGCCGTACTATATAAGGGACCCCAAAAACAGGGTTAGCCAAAAGATACGCTTTAAGCACTTTCGTTTATCACATTTGATGGCTAATTTTGCTGGTCGAATTAACATGATATAGGTGGTATTATATGCTCAGAGTTTCGAGGGATATGAGGTGTAGTTCGGCCGTCCCCGTAGTTAGTTTTGCTCAGGTAGGAGGTCGGAAGTAGTGGCAGGTGCTGTAAATCTTCTAGTGTATGTTAAACCTTGAATCAACCCGAAGGCCCTAGACCTGAAGCCCTCGCCTCCGCCTTTCTCGACGACATCATCATCGCCATGCTGAGCCGGGGGCTGAGAATTGGGCGGTAATCTTGAATTAGATTAGAAACATAGATAAATCCTGGTTTAAGGTTTGTGTAGGGCTTATAGATTTATGTATTGTATCTAAGCAGATTTAACATTAGGCCCTGAATCAACCCGGCTCCTAGGACGTACGGTTGATGATAGAAATCCTGCATTACCTATAATAAGGAATATGCCATGATTCCCATAGTTTAGGGTCCTTAAGGTCATGCAGGATTTATATCATCAACAGTAGGACCCTAGGCTTGCAACATCCTGTAATGTCCTTATAGCGTTCACTAACCCTAAACCCTAAATAACCCTAAACCCTAAATTCAACCCCCCTGGAGCGGTGGCTGGAGATCTTCATCATGGCGACGGTGGTGCCAGACAAGGCCGCGGTGGGCCAACTACGGTCTGTGCAAGACCGTCGGTCTGTGCAAGACCGCCCCGGGGCCTTTGGTCTGCGCAAGACCATTGGCCCCATGTAATCTAAAGGCCCCCCCACCCTAAGACCCTAAGCTTCAGATTAGTTTGTTCTTTAGGTGTGTTTAGGGCACAGCCGCGGGTTGGAGGTAGGTCTGAGGCATTAGTTGAGGCATAGGCGGTTTCTTATTTTAGCGGCTGTGCTAGGGTAGGGTTGTGTTCCGGTCTGAGCAAGACCGGGAAAAGTAACGGGTCTGAGGAAGACCCAGGCGTGAGGTCTGAGCAAGACCCCGCCCGCAGGATCACATGTGATCCAGTGGACGGACGTGGTCCGCCGCGCAGCTCGTCATCGCCAAAGTAGGCGTCGGGTGCGCTTCTCAGTGGTGGTTACTGCCCGGTATGGCCCCTACAGGGGTGGGACCTTGTTCCCGGCAGATAACTCCCTGGGTCGCTAAATCTCGATGCCCAAACGGCTTGACTTGCTGTGCTGGTCCACCGATGTCCACTGGGTCCTTTGATCCCTGCGCTAGATCGTTTTCAGGTCTGTGCAAGACCAAGCCTCGAGGTCCCCGTGACCAGTCCTGCGCAAGGGCTGGTTCACAAAAAAAAGGGGGTGGGTTCACTGTTTCGGGCATTGGCCGGGCTTCTTTGGAATTGAGTGTTCCAGGTAGTTTACTGGGGCCGTTCATTTGGAGATTTTGGCTTGGGCCACACCCAAGTAAGTTCAGGGATGTCTGGGAGTTTAGTATTTAGGGATTAAGGGTTTAGTAAGGGTTTCAGTAAGGGTCCTGGGTTTAGTTGATGCCCAGGTTTGAGGCTTTGGGATATAATAATCGTAGTTTAATGATAATAATAATCATAATAACAATAAATAATAATAGTAATAATAATAGTAATAATAGTAAATATATATATATATATATATACATATGTATGTATATATATATATATACATATATATATATAGACTGAAGTTGCAAGGGGGATGGGTTGGATTTCAGGGCGAAGTCCTTGTCAATACCCACCACCACTCGATACCAGGTCATCCCTAAACTCTTACTACACCCTTAATTCTAATGTTTACCCTTACAAAACCCCCAAGCCTGAATCCCACTGCACCCTTAAAAACCTTACTATTCAAATATTGAACCCATGCTCTTATCAGGGTGACACAATACTGGTCACTGAATCTTGCATCAAATCTGGACATCAACATGATCCCATATTCTGTACACCCTTCCTCAACCCTAAACCCTAAGTAGTACTAAACCGGCAAACGGGCGGACAAAATCGTTAAACATATATATATATATATATTTTTTTTTTTTTTTACCACCGCGCCTGAGGCCGACCTTGGCGGCTTCTGGTGGGCTTGCTCACTCAGGCCGGACCAATTGGGAGTGCCCCCGCCCCCACCCGCTCACACATTGTCATGCCAGGTCCAACCCGGAGGAGGCTGGCTGATTCTTGCATCATGCACCTGTAGCTTGCTCTTTGTTAGACTTCATGCAGGCCCGTGCTCATGAACAAGTTCTATGTGGGAGGCCTATGCAGGTTTAAGGTTTTTGTGCATTTTGGGAGTGGCTCTTGCTGCAGGTCCGACGATGTCTCCAGCTGGTTGGAGGCATCATCATAGCACAAGGTAGATTCGATGCTGGCTTGAAGACTGCTCTGTCTGGCAGGTCAGTGCACAGCAAGAAGTTCAAGGTCAGAGGCCGATCCGAGTTTAAGGGGCTTTGTTTATTTGTGTTTGGTTGCATTGCTCCTGGCTGCAGGACAGAAGTCTTCAGCTGGTGGGGCCGGAGGAAGGTGGGTCCTCTAGTCATGTAGCATTGTAGCCCACGGACTTCTTGCAGGTCACGATGCATCGTTGAGAAGTTCCAGGTCCGAGGCCAATCCAGGTTTAAAGTTGTTGGACAATTTGTCAGTGTCCCCCTGCTGCTGCAGGTCAACCATTATGGTGCAGTTGGACCGGAGGCATCCTTTGGGAAGGCCTGCTTCGCCTGTTTGCCTCTGCTGTTGTTCTCTCATTTGAGTTGGCAAGAACTGGAGCATGTGTGCCTGGAGCAGTGGTTGAACGAATTCTGCCGTTCTGTACTCAAGACCGGTCGGTGGTCTCATGACACAAGAGGCAGCAACAGCTCATGCATGCCCAGGCCCCGCCCAATAGTAGGTGCTCACATACCCAGGCCAGGTCAGAAAAGGTCAGGCATCGGTCCAATTTCAGGCTCCTCTCAGTCATAGGCCATCCGGTCGGTGTAGTAGGTGCTCTAACCGGGCTGCTGGACATGCAAAAGGTGCTCATGTCTCCAGGTCAGAGGAATTTCAGCATCTAAGGTCAGACCTAGGCATTTAAAAATTCTGCCATGGCGACCTCGTACGTTTCGCCGGTGACTCCGAACATGGTCTTGTATCGTCCGAGAAATTCGGGCGCACCTCGGACCCGGCTCACCGAAAACCAGTGGAATGATGCACTTTGGGTCGTGGCCAGGCTTCATTACGAATATTCAACCGTTTCACGAGCTTCTGGTTGTGGTTCCCGGAAGCCAAGGTGTCGGCCAAAGTACGGGCGCTGGCACCAGACCTTTATGCTTGCCTCGTC